ACCAAGAGCCTGTAATCAAGTCAAAACCTATTAAAGATGCAATTAACTTTGAAAATGGAAGTGTAGGCAGAAGTATAATTTGCAGATTGCCTATTTCTTTACCGTTGTGTGGGCATTTGGTGTTCGTTGTCACTGGGCCATTTACATTGTGAGAATTCAGCTTCATCCTTTTTAACCCTTCCTGGCCTCCTAAAGACCACTGAGGCTCCCACTGACAACTGGACTCTCTTCAGTATTCTATTCATAAAGACCCGCTCTGTTGCTTTTTAAGGGGACAAGCAGGCCAGAGCACCAACCAAGACCGAAAAGCATATTTGCTTTATTTCAATCAACTCCTAACAGCAAATGTTACCAAGGGAAATGTTCCCCTTTGTTCTGAACTGCTTGTGTTGGATTTTTTTTCATCCAGTGGCACCTCTATTTACCTTGCCCTGGCTGTGTGGCCATGTGCCCTGAATGCTAATGAAGGACACCTGTATTTCAAGGCGGGAGCTAATTTGTATAATTTATTCCTCTGCAGTTTTAAAACCATGATACACCCTTTCTTTTCTCTCAACTTTTTAGATTTAATTTGAATAGCAACAACCAGTGCCAAGGAGGGCACTGCTTTTGATGTCTCCTCTTTTTGATTCTTTTCTCAGTAGGTAAGTTTCATTATGCCTGCCAGTTGCTGAGATGCATGTCAGAGAAGAGGAACTCACACTTGCCACTGAGTTTATAATCAACAAATTCTTATCCTGAGGACTAGAGTAGAGTTGAAGTACCTATCTCCTGAGCTTCTCTCTTTCAAGGACTTAACTATAAAAGCAACTTCTCCTTCAAAGCCCTTATCCTTTTCCAACTCCCCTTCAGCTGTTGACAGCCTCTCTGTGCAGCCACTGCCTTTGTGGCTGCATTTGTTGATTTATACCTCTGAATTGGCCAAGGTGTCACCTGATGATGAATCTTATGGTAATTATGGATGGCCTATTTGCAGCAGTGTACTTACTCCTGTTCTCAGCTCCCTCATTTGGCTTCACACAGGTTTTGGCTAAGCAGTGATCTGACAGACTGCCCTTGGTATTTTCTTTTTTTTTTCCTTTCAATTGTACCTGTGCTTATCTCTCTGTCACAGATCACCTTAAGAACTCAGAGCTGGAGTTTTGCATTTCTCTTGACTGAGATCAGCTTTTCCTTGACAAGTTCGTAAATCCAGATAAGGGTCTTGCTTCCAAGCTGTTCTGAATTCTGGTCTCAGAGGGAGCGCTGGCAACCGGCATCTTCTTTTCGTTCTCTCCTCATCCTCAGTGTCTACTCCGACTCAGGCTGGCTTAGCCTGAAGGCCAAGTATGTTTCCTGTGGACTCTGAGAACCCCCTTTAACAATCCCTTAAGGATGGATTTTATGCCAAGTTTAGAAACTTAAAAGGCAAATAAAAGAAAACAAACAGGTTTAGATTAATATTGGACAGAAAACTCAGTTCTTCTGTGATTAGGGTCCGACTGGACAAAGTAGATTATCTGATTATCTGTTTGTTTCTATCTATTGATAAACTCAAGCATTTTCTTTTGTTGTTATTTTTTGTTGTTATTGTGTTTTGTTATCCTTTCCTCTGGAGAATTTTATTAAAATACACTTTAGCTTATCTTGGACATTAAAGTCTGTTTCAGTATATAGTCTATGTAACCGAAGGTGGAGAAATTATGTTTCTAGTTGTGGGCCCTCCTTGTAAATGGGGGACATTTGTAGAGCCATGAATGTGGATGTGTATTTGTCTGGCTTCTTTTTTTTTTTTTTTTTTTTTTTT